GCACACCTACCTCCAAACTAGGAAAGGATAAACCCACTTTCATGCTCGGGACTACACGACTCAGCAGCGAAAGGCAATCTACTGTGGCCGCACAACACGACACAGATCAGTCTCAGGAGCAGGGAGCTGAGCGACCCCGGATGCCAACAGACACACACTGTGCGATTCCACTCGAGCGACCATCTAGAAACGTAGAACTGGAAGGACACAAACAGTCAGCAGAAGCTGACTGCAAGGGTTATGGCAGAATGTGGAGCAACGGTAGAACAGCACTGGGTCTTGAAGGCGGGTCCGTGGCTGTGTTTATCAAAACTCTCAAAACCATACTCTGTTGTTAGTTTGCGGCTTCTGCAGTGCTGGGGACATAGCCAGGGTCTCTCCCGTGTGAGACAGGTGCTATGCTGCTGAGCAGGACCTCAGCCTGTTTTCTTTCTCAGAGGGAGGCTGTGTCTACCCACGTTGGCCAGGCTGGGCTCGCAGGGCAATCTTCCTAAACAGCTGGGATTACAGTTGTGCGCTGCCAGGCCCAGCTGCAACTGTGCACCTTTGAGTGAATTTTACCCTAAGCGAAGCTTGTTTAAGGGAAACCCCAGTGAGTATCAGGACATCCAAGAGAGGCTCACAGAATCACCTTGCAGAATTCAAATGCCACTGAAAGCCCAGAGGGGGGCCCCGTAGGGAGGCAGCCTGCCCCAAGGCCATACTGGGGGCTGCCACCCACCCGGAAAGTACCGTGCTCTGCTCCCATTTCTTGGCAGCCACTGCCATTGTCCCTCACTATTGAGCATGACAGCCACTGTTAGGTCCCGACCCTGGCTCCTGGCTGTCATTAAGTTGGAATGAGATTAAGCTTCCCTACCTGTAACGAGCTCTGACATCAGAGCTGGGCCAAACGTGGTCCCTGCGTGTGCTGGCAGGCTGAGTGATGGAGTGCTGACACTGAATGAGCCACGGTGATGGGAAACCCGAGGCCTGGGTGACATGCCCGGAAGCGGCTCTGTGCAGCTCTGCCACCACCACCCTCCTCTGACCACAGGGCCAGCAACTGATGGTGACTGATAAAGGTGTCCTCGCCCTGGCACACGGAATCCCAGGAGACGCTGGCCAGTGGTCCTCACTGCGGCTGTCCATCAAGATCTCACTTGGGGAGGCAGAGGGTGCGGTCTCCCGGCTGGTGGCCCAAAGGACACAGTCAGGGAACACAGGGCGGAGGTAGGGCCCTCCCTCCCCAGACCCCAGTGTCAGAAGGAAGCTCGGACAGTCTGAGGGAGCCAGTGCCAAGCACAGGGACACCAGCCGCATCTTTGCCCCTGCTTTTCTACTACTGCGTACTGTTTGTGCCGATTAGTAGAATTTCCTTCTGGATGCACACATATACTAATGTAACTTAATCATCCCCTCCATCACCCCTCGCCCCAACTTCACGCCTAGTTTCACACATTTGGGAGGCTCAGCATGTATAATGTATTTTGATCCTATCTGTGCTCCCTGCTATCCACCCTTCCATCCCCTCCCGCACCCTCTACCCCCCCCCCCTTATCACTTTCCTCTCTTCTACTTTCACGTCATCTTTTATAGATGCCGCACACTAGAGGACAAGTGAGATTTGTCTGACTCTGGCTTCTCTTCCCCAACACGATGGCCTCCAGGTCCACTCATTTTCTGCAAATGACACAATTTCATTCTTTCTACATTTTCTTCAGCCGTCCACCTATTGGTGGGTACCTAGGCCGGTTCCTTTCTGGTTGCCACAAACTGCGCCACAGTAAACATGGGTACGCAGGTCTGCCTATGAAACGCTGACTAACCCTCAGGCGTATGCCAAGGAGTGGTATAGCTGCAGCTGCATCACGTGAAAATTCTATTTTTTTTTTTTAATGTATTTGGTTGTTGCAGGGTCTCACTATGCAGCCTGGATTCCTGGTGATCCTCCTGCTTTCAGCTTCCCCAGAACTGGGACTGCAGGCATGCGCTACCACGCCCAGACTCTGGCCAGCTCAGCCGGCACAGCACGTAGTGCTGGGGATTGAACTGCAGTCCCTGTGCTTGCCTAAGCAGGTGCTTTAGTCCGCTAGGCTATCTTGCCAGCCCATTTTTAATTTTCTGAAGAACCTCTATACTGATTTCCGTAGTGGCTGCACTACTTGCCACCAACAGTGTAGGAGTGTCACACTTAGTCAAGTCCACGTGTGCACTTTCCTTTTTCCCCACACCCTCACCAGCATTTATTGTTTTCTGCATTCTTGGTGACAGCTATTATGGTGTTATTTTGATTTGCATTTCCCGAGGGGCTGAAGATGCTGAATGTTCTTCCGTACACCCACAGTCTGTGTGTCCTTCTTTTGCGAAGTATCTGTTAAGTCCTTTTACCCGTTTACTGGTTGGCCTATTTGATTTTTTTTGGTATTAAGTTTCCTGATATTAATCCTCTGTTGGAAGAGCAGATGGCCAAGATTTTCTCCTATTCCACTGGTTGTGTCTTCACTCTGATTATCTCCCTTGTTGTGCAGAAACTTTCTAATCTGCTCTGTCGATCCTGCTATTATTTTGTGTGCTACTGGAGTTCCGTTCACAAGTCTCTGCCCGCCTCTACAGCTTCAAGTGTTTCCCCTACGTTTTCTTTTAACCATTTCAAAGTTTCATTGTCTTATACCTAGCTAGGTCTCCAACCCATCTGGAATTGATTTTTGTACTGAGTGCGAGACAGGGATCTAGTTTCCATTTTCTACCAATGGCCGTCACTTTCCCCAGAACCACATGTGAAGGAAGGCGCCTTTTTCCAACATACAGGTTTGGCTTTGTCCA